AAGGAGTGGAAATGCTGCTTTGCTGCTGAGCTGGTGCTAAGTTAAAAAACCCTCACTCATCTCAATGTTACACTAAAAGAAAACAAAGGACAGACAGACTGACACACATAAGCCCAGGTGGATTGGTTCTTTATATGTGGCTGGTCCCTGCCAATGAGAAGGTAGAAACTGACCAGAATTGTGTAAGTTTCATCTCTGCTCAGTTGCTAGAATTACTGAGGAGATGTGAAACTATCAAGTCAGCATTTCTCTTACAAGAGAGAGCAACTAAAACTCAAGAACCAGGAAGATGGGTTTGGAAATTGGGAAATGGGCCAAACCCAAGTTCCATAAAGCTCCAGTGTTTCCAGATGAACAACAAATTCATTTGATAGGAACAGAAGAAAATTTTCTCTACTACTAAAGGGGGATTATGGCGTTGGAGTGATTAAAAAAAAACCTGTAAAATGCCTTTTCTCCCAAGGCAGTAAAGCAAAATTAATGGCAAATGATACCCTTATTCTCTTCCTTAGTCATCCTACATTACTGGGCAGGTGCATATATGGACAAGAGGGAGGGGTTCGTTTTAGAGCAGGGATGTCCAACTTGTGGACTTAAATTCTCAGAATTCCTCAACCAGCATGGATGGCTGGGGAATTGTGGGACTTGAAGTTGACAAATCTCAAAGTGGACAAGGTTGGACACCCGTTTTATGGTGACAAAGAGAGAGACAGGCAGTCAAGAGGAAATGTCACAATGAAATGGAGGAATATATCATAACTGTATGACACAACCATGACTTACATACTTGTGTCAGGTGGGGGACAGCAAGTAGGTAACAGTGAAGTTTGCTGCATGTCATAACTGTGAGCATGTCATCATTTAGACATAATCCTTGTTTCATTTAGAAACCTAAGAGGAGAGTATGTGGAATTTTTTTATGGTCTGATTGTAATCAAAAACAAATAACATGAGGACTCGTAAAACATTTCAAAATATCATTTGAGATGGCTTTTTAAAAAAAATTCAAACATGAAGTTACATTCAGTATTTTTTTGAATGGTCCTTTATTCAACAAAAATTAATAAAATATTGATGCTTATTTGACTTTAGCATTATTTTTTGGCTGTCTGGGCTTCACTTGGAAGTGACACTGTAGCAATAGGAAAGGGCTGTCTCAATAATATAATACAATGACTGCATTGATGCAAAAATCAGTTACTGCTTTTTGAAAGGTGAACTTTATCAACAAGACAACTATATAATGTAATATGGATTTTGTGAGGTGAAAATGAGTCTGCATGGTGGTTGGAAGCAGCAATTGAAAGGAATTGTAAAGTTTGTGCTTTCCCAACTGGAAACTTAATCTTCAAATTCTGACACTCCCTTTGTGCCCCCAGTGTATGTTCTGGTGGAGTGAAGCAAATAGTTGCTTTTACTCCTTTTCAAACCTTGCAAAACAATTATGATAAAGGAAAAAATGGTGCAACCTTGTATGCCCCACTAATATATGACTAGTTTGTTAGTGTAATGTACTTATACGTAATAGTTTTTTCAGGGTGATTAAGAAAAAAAATGAACAAATGAACAGAAATTGTTCTGAAAGGCAAAAAAAAAAAGCTGTGTCATTCCATAGATTTCTTTTAACTGTCTGAGAAAGAAATATTATATATATAAATATAATAAAAATAGAGTCATGGTGGCACAGTGGTTAGAATGCAGTATTGCAGGCTTGCTGTGCCGACTGCCAGCAGTTTAATCCTGACCTGACTCAGCCTTCCATCTTTCCGAGGTCAGTAAAATGAGGACCCGGATTGTTGGGGGCAATATGCTGAATCTGTAAATCACTTAGAGAGGGCTGTAAAGAACTATAAAGTGGTATATAAGTCTAAGTGCTTTTACTATTGCTAAATAGGAGTTTCAGAAGTCAGGAAATAGGGTAGATATCACATGAAAATTAACCTGATTTTGTGATCTGACCATGTCAAATCTTAAACTTACTACCATCTAACAGGGCCTTCTGAAGAATTAATTGTC